AGCCACCAGCCTGGAGAGGGGTGGGCAGAGCAGGGCCCCACGCCCGGCTCACACCCTCCTGCGGCCGGACCCCTGCCAGCAGGCACAGGGAAGCTCAGGAGGTGCAATGTAAAAAGCTGTCAGTGAGAGGGAGAAAGGTCACTGAGCAGTGACTTACACCCATAATCAGTTTATGGGATTTGTTTAAAAAAAAAAAAAGAAATTGTTCCTGGTTTCAGGCTAGCCAGCCAGGAACTCGCTACGGCTGCGTCAGCTTGGCTTTAGCACAGCAGCACCTTCCCACGCCTGGGGCACAACGCAAGCAGGGGTTATTGGTGCTCCTCGGTTACCCAGATGAAAACAGCACAGCAGGGCCATTGTAGCACCAGCCCATCTAATAAAAGCCATCAATTAATGCTTCCTGAGCAACCCAAGGGAAGAATGGCCACAGCTGGGTTCCTCACCTTTCCTTCCCCCTGAAGAAAGTGGTCTTGGGAAGGAAGGTGAGCACTTCCAGGATGGGAGTCAGCAGGGATTTCTGGCCATACCTGCTGTTTCAGAGCCATGGAGCAGGAGTTACCCAAGGTCTGACTCACACGAGAGTGCCAGCCCTGAAGGAATATGAACACACACTCCACCATGCCAACACTCCCAATGCTGCTTGCAGGCTTTGCCCCATCACGTAGCCCTGACCCAGACAGACTGCTGCGAACAGTCCCGGCCCCACGCCAGCTGCTGTCACACCGCAGCCACTGAGGAGTGCCAAGCTCTGCACAAGTCAGAGCTGTGCCGGGGGAATCCTTCAGCACACAACAGACCTATTTGCTGCCCAAGTGATTTTTCTCAGCTCCAAGGACTCACAGCAGTTTCTAGCTTTACCTCTCTGCTCTCTCCCCTGCCTGACCGTACCTGCCCATACGCCGAGGCAGGCCAATGCTTCCTTGCTCCCCTCTCCCTGACCTGGCCAAAGCCCTACCTACAGCTGCCACCAGATGAAGATCTATCAAATCCCATCCGCAGAGGCCAGCGTGGTCCAGCTGCAGGACACCAGAGGCAGCTACAAGCCCCAGGCTGGTCCTGGGCTCAGCCGACTGTACCTCCTCAGGACAGCAGGATTTGTGAAACATCAGTCCTGGTAATTGTAGAGAGATGGGCTCAAGGACCTTTAAAATGACCCATGCTGCTGAGAAGCAGAGCTACCAGTTGGTGTACAAAAAGCATGAGAGAAGTGTGTTCAGCAGCAAGGGCAAGAGCCAGACATCTGGGTAAGCCACACCGAGGAGACCAGCCTTAAACCCTGGGTGTTCAGCTAAACACATCTGATGGTCTCATTTGGAGAAGTCCCACTGCGCTTCTTTGGCACTGGTATGTGCCACAGCAACACACGAGGGACTCATCTGGGGTGTAAGGAAGGGAAAGGGAAGATTTGTTCCTCATGCCCCTGGTCTGTTGGACCATGAGGTCCCACGAAGCACAGCTGAGTCATGCAGGTACCACTGCCCCACCTCTGCTGGTTATCTGAATTGTGCCGAGTTGAGCACCTGCCCTGTGCATTTACAGGGCTGTAAAGGATAAGGCCCGGATTTATCACTACACGCAGGGGCTTTGCCTGCAACAAGGAAAGCTCAAAAGCCAGTCTATCTTGTATGACAGCATGTACACTCCTTCAAGGTCTTCTGATGATCTCAAATTGCTTTCATTCAAAAATAGTTCAAAGTCCGTCATCCAGAAAGTAGCTCAAGGCTCACAATTATTTCAGGGGTGGCAGAGCGCAGGGCACAGCGAAGGGAGCCAGCAGCCTGCTCTTCAGGAACAACCAGTGCACACAGCAGCTCTGAAAGAGCTTCTCTGCCAGCCACGCATATTGATGCTATCCTTCAAACTCAGAGTGGGGAAGAAATGAAGTTAAGAGCAGCTGTATTTACAAAAACAATCTGTATTGCCAACAGGAACAAAAGGCTCCTGGGGAGGGGAGGGAAAACAGAACAGTTTGGACTGAGTGTGCTCAGGTACTTCCAGCAGCAGCCCCTGGTATCAAAATGCCAAGCTGCTCTCTGAAAAGGGAGCTACATAGAATCATAGAATGGTTAGGGTTGTAAAGGACCTTAAAGATCATCGAGTTCCAACCGCCCTGCTGTGGGTTTGCATCACCTTCACAGTTATTTTATGGACAAAATACTTGGAAATCTATTCACCCTAGGCTGGTGTGAGAATACTCCCTAGTTCGTCCCCTTTTCCAGCTACCTAAATTCAGCACTAGTAACAGTCACACTGAACACTATCTAACGATGCAAAAATTTGTTAATCTTAATTTAAAACATTTCACACCTTTAGCAGTAAACTTGGCAAAGCAGCTGAGCCTGCTGTGGTTCCTTTAAAAACAAGGCCACAGCCCTCCTTTAACACAACCCTTTTTGCTAAGGGCAACACAGTCCTGAGCCTATTTTGAAAAGCTTCATTAAGGCAGCTGAGAACAATGAATGTGAACTCCTTGTGTCCTAGCACAGCATCCACTCAATCTCCATTCTTTGCACACAGAGCTGGTACCACCCTCCCGCCTTCCTGTCCAGCCCTGGGTAACCAGGATTACATTAAAGAGCCATTTCCCCATCAGAACACGTCACTGATGCAGCCCTTCTACTCCGGCCCAATTAGGAGGGTGGGCACTTCCTCTGCATCGTCCCTCACCTCGTGTTTCAGAGGCATTAGTGCTCAGAGCAGGCAGCTCTTCCTCCCAGCCCACTTTTCCTCTTTGTCTGGAGCCTGCCATGCTCATAAACTCATATTATGACATCAAGCCGATAAGAAATCATGATGATTTCACTGCAATTAAGTAAGAAGCAGATGGGGCTGAGGGAGCTGGCTAAGCAACAAATCTTCTAAACTGGAGAATGCTGTCAAGAGAAATTAAAGCCTTATGCAAAAAGCCAACTGAGGATCCCAGAAAAATTCCAGCTGGAAGGGACTGCAGGGAGGCATCTTGCCCAACCTCCTGCTCACAGCAGTGCAGCTGTGACCTGGGCACCTTCACCTCTGCTGCAGTCTGTCTTAGGAAAAGCACAGCACACAAAGCACATACAAGTTCCTCCAAGTTGTAAGCAACACATCTGAAAAAGCCAATTGAGAGAACACGTAAGACAATGCAACAGCACCACAAGCCAACACATAAGCTCGAAAAATAACCCCCATACAGATAGAATTCAATAGAAATCAGCAAAAAAAAAATTAGGATGGCACACCTGCCAGAAACATACCCAGCTTTCAGGGACTGATAGTTTTTCAACACAGCCAGGGCTTGAATTCATCACCTATCACCACCACCCAACACCACACACAACAGCGGGCAAGGCAGTGACAGAAATGTTACCAATAAATGAAACCTAGAGCAGCCTGTCCTTCTTTCACAGCCTTTTATGGGAGGAAAGAAAACTGCTCACAATTGCTTGGAACAAGGAAAGGTTTAAATAGGTTAAAAATAATGAACCAGTATGCTGCACATATAAGCACTCCATGCTCCAAATTAAGTGAGCCTTTAAAAGGTGGCCTTAAGACGCCTGTCAGAGTTGCTCTAAAGAGGTTAATAAATTGCTTTGAAACTCTGAACACAGCTTAGTAAGATGACTAAGAACCTGTTGTCACAGCCTAATGACATTACCTGAATTCTAGCACTTTCCAGGGAACATGATGTTGTAGTTCTTGCACGTTATCACCCCTGTTATAACTACTTGTAAAGGGCCTAGGATTGCTTGCAGAAGTTTCCAACTTTTCATCAGGACAGTAGGTAAACCTCCCAACACAAAACCTTTGCAGAGCTGCAACCAAAGTCAAGATCCACATAGTTTTTAATGCTTTCAGTTTTAAGTCTTTGTTACAAACCAAATAGATTATACAGCAAATGAGTGTTCAGTATCACTGCATCTCTTTAAGGAAGGTTGCCAGCTTGTTCATTGTTCAGCATGGCTGGTGCAGGCTGGTTTTCTGCAAAGCAGCACAACACAGCTGACAGTTTAAGCTCACACTCCTGTGCAGAAGCAAACTCTATTAAACACACCATGTCTGAAAGACTAACTGGACTCCAGGCTCCTCTGTAGGACCAGGCTCGCAGCTGCAAGAACTACAAATCCATGCATTTTGACATGCCAAGCATATGAACTGTTTCCAGTGCTTCTCCAGGGCAGTGTTGTTTCTAAAATTTGACAACCCTCCTCAAAGTCATGAGTAAATTTAATGGACAGAGGAAACAATTTCTTCTCCCGAAACCAAATTATTTCCTCTGGCTTTCGAATACCTCAAGTCAAAGCAAGAAAGTGGTGCCAAAGCAATTCCAAGCAGCCACTCTGAGAACAGCTGCAAAGAAGGTATTTCATTGATGCTTCTTCCCCTCCTGCCAACAGATGTTGTCAGATGCATTGCCTAGACTGTAGAAATCACATGTAAGGACCTAACATAGTACTAGATACCAGTTCTTACAAACATAGCAGTTTTCATACGAGGTATTGCTTGTAAAGCATCCTTATTTAGAAAGGGCAACGCTCAGAGCCTAGGAAAACATCCTAGCCAGACAAATGAGCTACATTTTCTTCTTCAACCTTCCTGGCAAGAGAGAGAGAGAGAGAGAGAGAGAGAGAGAGAGGTGACTCTGACTTAGAAGTTTCCAAATGCACACTGATATCTCTGAAACTCAGCAGGCTTTTTGCCTCCCTGTACTCACAGATTATCCATGCAAATGTTTATCAGCACACAATGTTCTCCAGCTAAAGTTTAGTATCTTCTCAGGGCAGATCCTTCTCATAGGGAGTACGCATAGTGACCACACAAGAGTGCGGCCTCGATCCAGATTTACCACTCTGTGATGACAGAGTGCACAATGTCAGTATTATGATCTTGAAGAGACAGTTTTCAAAATTAAAGACCTTTTCTAACAGTAAAAATATGAACTGTGAGCAGGAACTCTGCTACATGCATGGGAACTGTCTAAAAAGCTAACATACAAACAACATTTACACAATAGGCATCTGGCAGCATTTTCAGACATTTTTTTTAATTTATTCTGACATGCTATAAAGGAATAAATTACACTGTTAAAGAATTACCAGCAATAAAAGTATGTCTTTCTTTCAGCTGGGCTAGAATAGGAGTGAGAAGGAAGACAGCCTAGGGCAGTAACCAATGTGAACTCTGCATGGTGCGAGGCTGTCCCCAAGAACAAGAGTAAATCTGGTCATATCCACAAGAACTTGAAAGAAAATGCCTTGGCTTAAAACCATTCAAATACTCCATTCAAATTTTTCTCAAAACTAGCAATCACAAGTCAGTCCAGCCGATGCATGACATGGCAACGCTCAGAGGCTGCCAACACCATGTCTGCAAAAGATGCCATTTTGTTTTTAAAAAAATCCAATCTTAGTACAGAGGGCTGGTCTCAAACAACAAGTTATAAAAATGCAAGACTTCCCCTTCCCCCTCAAGGAAAAAATACAAAATTTATTTAAAAACAAAATGAGGAAGAGTTACAACACTAAATCTAAAATGATTTAGAAAGAAATATGACTTCTTTTGCTTAATAAATGGCCTTGAAACTTGGTTTAAAAACAGGGCAATGTAGATTTCTTAAATTGAACTAACAAGGCAAATTAAAAAAAATCTCATTTCCTTACAGAAACAATTTTAGTTTTTAATGAACTTGTAAACAAAAAAGCTCCCGCTTCAAAATAAAAACGAAATCCCAGATCATATAGATGTTTACAGTGATTACATTTATCTAAGCAACTTACATACAGGTTCAGTTGTAAGATGTTAACTAAATTTTGTGACAAATATGCTGTTTTTCCTTTTATACCAAGAACATTATAGAGTTAATGCAGAGTCCTAAAGATTATCTAGTAGTCGCTAAGTTTCTCTTAAGTCTTCACTTTAGATGCTGTTACTTCTAGCACAGGTAAGCAGGCAGAGTCTTTCATATGCTTAAAAACTGGAATCTTTGGTTACTACCATGTCAGCTGGCTTGGTATGTTGCACATAGAAGCCAACAACTTTAAGAATGTTTTAAGTGTACAACTTTCAAAACCCAGGGAGAAATAACCAGAAAAGAGTGCACAATTGTGAGCATTTACAATTATCACAACTGTTGCCGAAGACTGTTCATGCCATTCTTCCAAAACAATGAGATCTCATAAGCAGTGTAGTTCAAAGTAAAAAGGTAACAAAAATTGGCATATGCACAACTTTCTCCACTTGTGTGTCAACCATTAGTTAACTTTTCCACTTGAAAAAAATGCAATAGAAAACTGGACACCATGTTTCACTATCTCAGTAATATTCACAATTACAGCTGCTACAACTCCAAGTGCAGCATCATTGATGCTGCCCAGAGCCAGTTTATACTGATATTAAGTTCTTTACACCAAGTAAATGGTTGCCCACAGCCACTGGTAAGTGTACGTATGAACTAAAATTTCTAGGATTTGGGGAGTGACAAGTCCTGCTCCGATCTGCTCTGCTTTGTCCCATCCTCGCCATGCTCAGAAACCTGCAAGATAAACACAAGGGCAACTTACTGATACGGGATAAAAATGAAAAACAGCCTCCACAGTAGGAGAATTAAATATCAGTTATGGTCATTCAAAGGGGAAAATGCTGCTCCATCTTAGAACCACAGAGTTCCTGGTGTCAACTTCCAAAGCTAACCAGCACTGGCCACCACCCTTGAACTCAAACACACACCTCTCACTCACACCTACTGCTGCACTGGAAGACAGGCTTATGCACCAGCTGGATGCCACATTCCTCAAACAGGAATTCAGACCATCAGTTTGAAATCAAGATGTGTTATTGCCACTAGGAAGCAGGATGTAATTTCATAGGATTGTTTTCTACTTGTCTGCAACGTCTCATGTTTATATCCTTGAATGTCAAACTGTCATCTGATTGCAGTGGCATTCTTCAGAGATGCAGTACAGCAGTGTCACACAGACAGAAGGAAAAGGAACAGGAATAACTTACCTTACAGTAACTGGTGTTCACCACATGCTCACATGCACAATGCTCTGGGAAACCAGAACAGAGGCAAGAACCTTTGACTATGACTAGGAACCCAGCATACATTCTGCCATTGGAAGGACAAGTGAACACATGTGACAGGGGAGGTAGGGTGTCAAGAACCATACTTTTGAAGTTGAGATTTTAAAGTTGAGAAATCCAAATGACAAGTTCAAGAAAAGGGAGAGTAAAGGAATACATACACAGGTCTCAAAAACCCAGTTACTGCAAGCTAAGCCAGTCTTCATGTGACTGCTTATATACTCATTTCTGGTGACTCAGGCAGTAGCACTGTGCTTGAAAGAGGTAACAGAAGTCTCCACCAAACACTACTTTGCCAAGCAAGTTTCCGTTCTGGATACCCTCCAAACAGCATGGTAGTCTGTCAAAGTATGAATTCATCTGAGCAACAGCTCTGATTTTTTGCAACAGAAATCTCTTCAGAGCAAAATACAGACAAAGCTGACCCAAGCTATAGCTTGTGCTGTCATCCAGAGAGAAGCAAGTGCAAACAAGTCTTAAACATAGTCTGACATTCAGTCAAAAATGTATCTGCATAGTACCCAGACAACAGCTTTAACTCCTCCAGAATAGGCTACAGGTGATTTAGAAGAGATTCAATAGCTTTGTTCGAACTCAGTCTTAATGCACTGAAGGACAATTCTCTTTACCTGGCACTAGCAATTACAAAAAAAAAAAAAATCCTGCAGCAGAATTGAGACAGTTATTCCCACTTGAGTGCAAATTCTCACAGAATCGCCAGCGATTCCTTAGTTCCACTGGCCTAAGTTGTCCATAACCCTTACGTAATGCATACAACCAAAAGGTATACCGTTTTTTCCATTTAGTGTGTTCAGCAGTGAACACTGATTCATCATTTGAACCACTTTCTCCACTGTAACAACCAAAACTAAGTCAACAAAGGAGGAGTGTGCTCCCAGTGTGGAAAGAAACAGATGAACTAATTGCTTTAGAAGCCTGGATGTTTCAAATGAAAATGGGATTCTGAACCTAAGGACAAAGGACATGCTAACAAATGATATGCTATTTGTTACAACACCTCAAATCCAAGGTGTTATGAGCAAGAGAATGGCCAATTCTACAAAGAGCAACAGTGAACTGGATTCAACCCACATCCCCCCTTGCAAGCCCTATTAATTCTAGACAGGAGCGTTCCCAAACACAGCCCAACCACAGCTGTCAAACGAGATGCTGAGACATTCACGTAGCACCCAAGACTTTGCCAGTATGAAGAACATGCTGAAGAGTTTATGCCGGCATCTCTCTAACACATCTTCACTATAGACAGGCCAGCTCAAATGTGCACATTCATCACTCCTTGTCCCTCTGGGGTGTTACCCAGAACTTCGATAATCTCTATGCTATGTGAAGGATACTCAAATTGCTTTATTATTACTAGAGCCGCAGATCTGATCAATGGGGGAAGAGTAACTGTACCGTCATACCCTAAGAAGCTCCTCCACTTAGAGGTGTTCAAACTTTTTCTCTATTAAGTAGCTGCGGAGACAAATAGTTAAAAGTATTTAGCTGTCAATTAGCTAAATCTCAAGTAGTGAACTAGTAGTCTGCCCTGAGAAATGCTGCCACACCATAGGCGTCCAGTTAATGCTAATGGGACTGCTGACAGGCTTACAGAACTCTACACTGAAGTGAATTACAAACATCTCTCACAAATGGAACTGATGGACTTTATCCTGGAGACTGACTGCTTGAGTCAGTTTTATGACTGAGGGAAGCTGACTGTAAGCAGTTACAAATCACACCTGAACAACTGCTGCACTGTCAAGAGATTGAGAGCTAAACTTCCCAGAGTCAGCAGAGAAGCTCAGTCTGTTGAAACAGTTCACCCTACCAAGTTCAAAAACAGCTGATCTTTCAAAAGATACTGCACAGGGTTCCAGAAAGGGACAGGGGGGAAAAAAAAAGAGAAAGAAGGCCACTGACAGAACAGGCTACCCTGGAACCACACAGAATATTCAGCCTGAACAACTTACAGGACTCAGTGAGATGGTTAAATATGGATCTGAGTTAAGGCAGCTGGGAATACCTATAAATGAGTACACTGTCCAAATAATCTAAGTCATCCAAGTCTCTGGACATTATTTGAAAGAGTTAACATTTCACACCCTCCAGCTCCACTCCAGAGATGCACCATCTTCAATAGTACTTGCACTCTATAGAGTATACTATAAGATTTCAACCAATAAACACATCTGTAAATTGCTATTTCCAGCACTCTTGTTAAACCACATATGGTTACCAGAGAGGTATAATTTGATACCATGAAGCCTTTTAAACCACTTCAGCATAAGCATTGCTACAGCAACTACATGAGAAATTAACTGAACTCTGAAAAAAACAAACCAGGTATTTCATTAATCTTCCATGTGACAGGAACATGTAAGCCATCCAGCCTTCTTCTTGAGCTTAGCAGGTTTCACAAAATCTTCACTAACACGCAGTATTTCCCAGAAAAAGGCATGCAGGATTTCAGAAATCTGAAATCTTGATTTTGATGAAGAGACTAAGCTAACTATTTTAGCAAGCTGGGGAAGTCTTCAGATGTTTGACAAGCACTATTTTAATGCCTTGCTGACACTCCAGTCTGATCAATCCAGAAGTCACAAAACTTTTCTTCACGATGGGGTGGGAGAGAAGGGAGTGATCTCCTCAGAAGACTGTCACTCTGTGCAAGAGCCAATGAAATTCTGCTAGAAAAACAACTTCTCCACAGCTATAGCAATGGGCCTTGTTGCTAAAGAACAGTGCAATGAGGAAGGCCCATCACAAAACAGAAATGGTCTACGAGGTACAACTGCAAGACAGCCTCCCTGTTACTTACACTTGTCAGTCAGCTGCAGCTTTGCACTCTATCACTAAATCATCACTAGCAAGTGGAGTCAGATAATAATTACCTTTTTTTCACTTACAGTATGGCACTTGGTCAGAGACTGCCCGAGCCAGGAGAGTGGCACATTAAACCTCAGAATACTTCACCAGCAAAACAATATTTCAAGTGCATACAACTTGGTTGTCGGGGCAGTGTCCATTTAAAGATCATCACCTACTGTAAGAGCTTCACTTTAAACCCAAGCCAGTATGAAGAATGTGTATTTTTGCTCATATGATTTCCTCCTGCTCAAACAGCCACGCTCTCTACATCCTTACATAGGGCTGGGTTCAGTAGTAGGCTGAGCTCCAGTCAGAGCTTCTGTATTTCAGGAAGTAAATCCTGAAATACAGGATCAGTACTTCATCACCGAGCCTGCTATGTACCAGTCTCACAGCTCACGGAACTGGTTTACAGCCCTCAGTGTTAACACCTGTCAGCTCTAGAAAAAAAAGCTGGACTCTTTATGCCACAAAGAATCTGACATTTAATGGTATCCTGTGAAATTTTTTTTTTTTCTTCAAGAAACCATTTCAGACTGAGTCTCAGAGACCAGCAGGTATTTTGCTTCATCCAGAACAATGAAGAAGTGTTACATTTTTGGATGGTTGTTTGCCTAAGGCCACCTGGTCATGTTTGAATGCTGCCACAATACATGAAAACCAATGTTTTGTTAAGTTTACTGTAAACACTTCTGTGTTTCTTTGACTTCCAAGTCTGCCATGTTAACTTTATATATAATTTTATACATAGGAAAATGACAGTCAAGACAAGAATGCACTGAAGAGTAGCAAGCAGCAGCAATACCTCAATAGGCTACCTCAGTAGCAGTAACTTAAACCTAGCTTCTCTATTCTCACTCAAACAACCTCAGTAGCTTCAATTTTATTCACAGTTCATCTTCAGGAATCGGTTTCATTACAAGACTGGCTGAAATAGTCACTAGCTGCAGCAGTTTCATTCCAGTGACTTCCTAGACTAACACTCGCAGGTTTTAATCAGAAAAAAAATTTAAAAGTTTCTATAATGTGTCAAAAAATTGTACATGCCTTTCCAGAACTCAGTTTTCACACAATTACATCTTGAACATTTCACATTTTCCTTTGAAACCATAACCTAGGAACATTAAAAATAGACAAGAAACCTGAAGCCCCACCCCAGAGCATCCACTTCAGAAAATTATGACTTGGCAGTCCACAGCAGTTCAGGGTTACTCTGATTTAGGCAAGACATTTTGGGCTCACTGGTCCTTTCCTTTAAATCTGGACCAAATGCCTCAATGTAAACCCACTGGAGGAAGCCAGATCATTCACAATTTTCTGTTTCCAATGTTTGAGGCATACAGAACAGAAGCAAACCCACAGCACTGTACCAGCTGGAACAGAGCAGAACCCAAAGTCTCTAGATCCTTCCCTAGTTAATGAGAATTATCCCTTAAGAAGTGTTAGGTCTAGGATTTTGGATTGTATTTTATATATATATAAATGACATATGTGTGTGTGTATATATATATATAAAAATAAATAATGTCACATTCCCAACACCAAGTCAGTTCCTTGTTTTTGGAAAGTGGTTAATGCAGGAGCAAAAGATGCAGTGGTTAAAATGACCCAATATCCCCAGAAGAAATGATATGAAGAACAAGGACATTTTGGTATAAAGTTAGTAGTCAAATTCTCCAAGGACGTCTTTTGTTTTTGCTTTTTAAATTAACAGCCAAATATGTTTTTTAAACCACCTCCTTGATCTAACACTTAAATTGCCGACATTGTCCAAATTAGTGTAATTTTTTTTTCCTGTAACGTCACTTGGTTCTTGGCTACTAACCTTTCATGTTACTCTTGGATTTGTCAGTTTGCTTGCCTGTGGGGGTTTGGGCCTGCTGCCCCTGCCCACTGGAAGAGGCTGCCTGCTGTGCTGCTTTCTGCTTTAACATTGTCCAGTCGAATGTGTAGTCATATTGGTGGTTCAAGGTCCTAGAAAAGAGTGAAATACTTTACTGTAACACATCATAACTTCCTTATTGCTAACAACAAGCCTTTGCTGAAAATCCAGAACTAGAGGTTAACTCTTTGGAAGCTGCTTTGGAGATTATGAATGGTATATAAATGCTAAGTACTACTAACTCAAAGGGATTCTTGAAGCAAGTCCAAACACCATCTAGCACTGTTTTCTTCACTGCTTACACAAAAGTCTGCATTTGTAGAACAACTTCTTCACAGCCCAGATTATCTATTTGTCTGCAGTTAGATTCTCAGGGGTTTTTTTTGTGGTTTTGTTTTGTTTTTTAATATATAGAGTTTTAAGGAAAGACTGCAGTATAGTAGATCATTGAATAAATACTGCTTTGGATGCCAGAAACCTGGAGAGGCACTCTTGAGGGATTAGTATCAGCTCTATTTTAGACAGATGCTGTTCACCCCACAAGGTTGAGTTTATGTTCTTGTTTCTCTAAGGAGTTCAATAAAACAGCACTATTCCCCTCCATTGAAATCAATCTACTGGGCACCACTGCTAGTCCCATCATTGATCTCCAAACACAGAAAGCTTCAAATACTTCTACCAAAGGGTCAATTTCTTAAGCTACTTGCAACAGAACTTGAAGCACGAGCTCAACCATCTTGCATCAGCACTCAGATCATGCAACTCAAAAACAAGAGAATCTTTTTCTTCATGTTTAACGTTGAACAATATTTTTTCACATCCTTTAAACAGCTTTTCAAACTCTGAAATGGAAAGAAAGCCCCAGAACTCCCTACAACACACACATATTGGAGCAGCTTTCTGCAGTTTAAGTCCACAGAGCAGTTACCAGCTGGTAAAGAACTGACAAATTTCTGTACTTTTCCACTTTGAGACTGACCTGAAAAGAATACGGAATAATTGCCTCAGATACATGTAATCTGGTGCCTCTTCAAAGCGCAGGCCACGACAGTAGTTCAGATACATGGCAAATTCTGCAGGGAATCCCTGTAAACCAACAGTGTTAATCAAGCCATGGCTTGCAGCAAAAAGCTTCTAACAACCTATAAGAAGGCCAAAAGCTGTATTTCTGTCTATAACAGCAGAAAAAGACTGGCTGAAGATTCATATGTGTTCTCAAGGACCTTTGTTAACAAGCATGTGGCTGCCACAGTTCAAGAGAAATCTCAAGATCCAAAGGATAGCACTGGAAAAATCATTCTGTGACATGGCTTTAGGGATCATTTGACATCCAATTCCATTACAGCCTCTATTTTTTCAATCTTAAAGAGGCAGAAACACATATGTGCAAGCTATACAGCTCTACTTTGGTTTTATTTATCCAAGAGGGCACATGTAGAACTTTCACTGTGGAAGTTGAAGAAATGAACAAGCCCCACCTAAGAGGGCTGGAGAGCTTGCACAGCCAACAGTCACCGAGTACTGGAATGATGGTGGTATGAACTACACCCAGAAACAGCAGTGAATGCCTGCCCTGTTACACACATTGACAGTCTTGCTGGGTGGCCAAACAAGGCATTCATGACTGCCAGAGAAGTATTATTCATCAGCGAATGCCATACGAGACTAACATATTGGCTCTAGTTTTAAAAAACAAGAAAGAAAAGAACTTCCATTTCACAGTATGACATAATTTGGAAACTCTTACCTTACACAAAACCTCAACAGGAGTGGACATTTTCTTTTCACTAATCTTTTCATACTTTTGCTTCTTTGTTGCAGCCTGTGGAACATGTAGGTCACAATATAAGAGAGATTGTGCAACACTGGATTAATAAGGACAGTAGCAAAAAAAAAAAAAGACAAAAATCCTTTGGTCAACCGTAAGTATTTTATGTGAAATCTCCAAGTCCCACACTCTTATTGCAAAGAGAATGAAGGTCAATCTGGTATTAAGATTTGGACACAGTTTAATACCATTTGTCGCAGTCTAATGCTTCCATCACATGGCACAGCTCATGTAGTTCTAGCTGCTGCTTTTGTCCATTAAACAGACCAGACTTGCATTTCCATTTGCCAAAGTTCTATTAATTCCCACTCAGTACCCTATTCAAGAGCTGCCTGCATGTTTCAGTAAGCAGCCATTACATTCATTTGCAGCTGAAGAGTTCTAGTGTTTCACAAGCTGCTTGCCTTTTTAGAAAACTTACAGCTGCAACACCATTTGAGTTACACAACTCACATGGAGGAAGAAAAACAATTAAAACATTAAAACAAATCACTGAAGTCTACATAACACAAATAAGAAATATTTGCCATGCTTCTACCTGGCTACCATATATGACAGTACTTGAAACAAGCCTGTTGCAGCTAATAATTATTCAGTCATACCATAAATTGGACTGAAGATATCACTAAAGCTGAACTTGCTAGCCAAGAGATTATTTCTATGCTCTCTACAGCAATTCAAAAAGCCCCTAACAATGTTATTTTCTACTTCCCAAAAAGGGCCTCAGCCTACAACAGGACAATAATAATTTGCACAGATGATGTAAGCTATTGTTTAGCACAAATTTTAAGACAGACAAACAATACACATTTTGCCTGCTGCACCAGAAGTAGAAAGAACCTTTCTTTTGCGTTCTATAAATATCATGGCTTGGGAAAAACCACTTTGTATAACTGAAGCTAAACATTATATACAACCACTTACCCAGAGCAGCAGGCTGAAGCATGATACCCAAACATAGAAAAAGGAAGGGGCGGGGTGGGAAGCAACATAACCTACCTTTAATCCTTGCCAAGGCAGACTGGTTCTGTTAAAGTACATCAATACATAGCCTAGAGACTCCATGTCATCCCGACGACTGCAGAAAAAGGAAGAATACAATGGATTACAAATTTTGGCATTTTGTACTTTATTCCAAATAGTAAAAGTATTCCAAATTTTTTTTTTTTTTTACAAAAGGAATAAAATCTAAACTTTGGTGCAAAGGAATGTCTCTAATACAGCTAAGACATCTGGGTGTTCAGGATTCCACTGGCAGGCATGTAACAACTCTTCACAAGCAGGAAGGAGATCCTATTCATTTTTCAAGCAAGGAACAGTCAGTAGGTATTGCATGCGCTAAGTTTCCATCTGGAGTTACGTTAGAATAATTTGGGAAACAAAATCTTTAGAAAATAAATAAAAAAAACATTAAATGTCTTTCCCATTTAATTAAGTAGCTGGGATAGAAACTAAAGTTTTGCCTACAGGAACCATGGAATGTATTGTAAGAGGAACACCTGATCTTAGCCTTAACCTCATTAAAGAAGATTTTTCCCTGAACCTGGCCTTAGTCTGGGACCAATATCAAACCAAATACCAAAAGGTCCTAACTCCTTTCTTTCCTCACATTTTAAAAAACCCTCAATTGCCTCCAGGATTTTTAAAAAACAAGCAATATTTAGAGAGGTGCCTCTGCCTTCTTCCTACAAGAAGTCTGTTTCAAGGCAGCTAGAGAACTCCAAAGTTATTTATCCATAGATTTCACTGAGAATTTCCATGCAGACTCTCATCTAAAAGGCTTCAAATGTTTTCTGTACTGCATATGCTCCAGATCCACATTTTAGCCACAGAAACACCATCATACTTATGGCGTGTCACCCCCCCAACTTCAGTTCCAGCTCTCTGACCCTTTGGGGAACCAGTTCAGGGAGCTATCACAGAAGAAAATCAGCCTGGCTCCCTAAGCCATTTCACCACTAGGACAAAAAGCACCCCTGTGCCCAGAGGTCAAGGAAGGGAAAAATGTTTCACTCTTCTTGACAGCAGCTAGCTGTGTGGTCATCGCATCTGTAACATGAAACCATGGCCAAAAACAAAGGGATGAAAAATTATACCAAGACCACAAACTCCAGCCTGCAAAACTTGCTAATTCTACTAGAATTGCAGATTTTAATAATCAACAAGATTCAGTAAAGTGGTATGCAGCCATGACATAAAATTACATTTTTGAGAAAGCAGTGGTAAATTCAGAAGCAATAAAGGGATTAACGGTTTCCATCCCCCATCCAGGTCATTGATTTAATGTTTAATTTAATTATTTTGTAGTAAGAAACATTTAGTTCTGTCACCCTACAATGGACATATTACATTTAAGCGTATACTGACAAAAGTGATTTTCAGGGTTTGAAAAAACAGGACAATACTGTCCATTACTAAAACAAGAAATGGATCGCACTGCAAACAGCCCCTCAAGAATAGCTGTCGTTACATACAGGAAAACATGTTCTGTAACAGTTAAAGTATAGCACTAACAGTTGACATATTCTGCCATAAGCTTCATGACTGGTTTCCCTTGATGACAGGAATATATTATTTGGTTGTCTCACTGTTGGCTTGATCTAGACAGTTAATAGCTTTTAGCATGCACCAAGCTATGTTTCTGGTTATATTCGAGCAGAGATGGTACAAGACCTCCAACTAAATTCTAAAGCAACAGTCCTTTGCAGCTCACTCCCTTCCCTGTAAGGTACTAGAACAGCTACCCCATTACAAGAATGGCTTGGGTTCTAAGAAATGTAATTACTTCACAAGTGACACCTGTCATTTACCCTACTTGACTCACACACCAAGTAGGTTTCAATAATGACACTGACAGACAACAAAATACACTTAAGGGACCCTAAGGAAATTAATACAAAGAGGAAATACAGAGCATTTTAAAGCACCAAATATTTGTAAGTTACATGTTCAGTTGACCAACAGAAAATTCTGTCATTCCCATCTTGATTAAATTGAAGGTCAGAGGCAGAAACATTAATGGAAGTTTTAACTATGTCTAAGCAACCTCAGCATCATGTGGTAAGGCCACACTACTATACATTACAACATCTAGGCATGAGGGGAAGAAGAGAGGCATCACTTCATATCTCATGAGTACCTAACATACACTCCCAAAAAATCTGAAGTGCTATCTCCACTGGATCACTGCTAGGATACTGTAGTAGCAAAATGGTTTTGATCCAGATGATAAAAATGTGTTTGTTGATTAAGTAAAGCTCAAACATATAAATATGCACACACCCTGTACATCTATACACAAAGAGGCATGACAATGGTTGTGTATACTAGAAACCAAAATACAGTGCAAGTGAAGTAGATGATCTTTAACTCTTGCTTGCAGGCAAAAGGAAAAGCAATAGTGTACCAAGTAGAAGGGAAAGTGAGAAAACACAGACACAGACAACACCTTTAGAATACCCTTTCTGGCTACAGAATTGCATCTCAAGCCAGCCAGCAGTGGCATCAACAGGTACCAACACAATCAGGAAAGCGCATAATTTTAGTTGTGAAGGTCCTCCGACAAACCCACATGCAAGTATAGCTTATTCTTTAAAGAAACCAAAACAGTATGCAGAACATCCACCTCATACCTGCAAGACTTAGACTCTCTTCAAGAAGCAAATTAGGGGCTTGGATTTTTTCCCCCCATACCTTGCATAGGCAGTCAAAAAGAAAAGCACTTGCAAAGGGATATATACACACTTATTCATATAAAATTAGTTCAGACACTTCAGAAGCTTACAAATAAGATTGTCTTGCAGCCTCCAAAAGCACAGCAGTAATCTCCTTGAACTCACCTTTGCTCAATGCCAAGATGGGCATTGATACTGGCATATCGAGCTGTGCCAGTGAGATTTTTGTCTTCTCTGTATGGTATGTGTTGCCTTGTCCTGTTGTCCCGGTACTTTTTGGCCAAACCAAAGTCAATAAGGAATAACTTAAAGAAAAATGAAAATAGATTATATCTCTATACAACACAGGCAATCCCCAACCTCTTTCACTACGCATTAGCTACATTTTAAGACATCCACACAATGTAACAGCTTACAGTTAGAGGAAGCAAATTAACAGTGCAGAGTTGCAACAAGCTTTAACTAGCCAGTTCAACAACTTAATAGTGAATTAGTTCAAGCCTTTTCTCAAACCGGTGGAATAGATTAGATTGTGCTACTCAGCATCTGTAGCTTAGTTCTACAACTATTTTATGTTACTACTATGGTTTGTATCACATTAGCTCAGTAACTACAGTGCACAATTTAGGAAGGAAACTCGTATGTGTGAAAGCACGCTTCACAAAACCCCACTCACACGTGAGCAGTTTACACATACAGATAGTTAATGGCAGCTCAGCAGCTTAATGCAAATGATGGACATCCTGTATCCTGCCCTGTGTCTCACAGAACACTGGCCACTCTGTACAGAACTGAAGGCCAAAACCTTCAACAGCAAACACCACATCTTGCTTTCAAATCATACGCTCATTTTAAGACTACCAGAACACTATTGCAGCAGCATGACACACTTGCTGATGATATTAATACAGACAGGAAGCCAGAGCCTAGTACATGGAATCCAATTTAGGTTTTAATAACCAAGCTTGCCCAATGATTTGGTATTTAGCAACGACTGAGTGCATGCTAACAGCCAGCCAATCTACAACGGTTAATAGAGACTGTACCTGCTTGTGACAAGATTTCAGGACTAGGCAAAAAAAGCTGAGGCAGAAGTATATAAGGGACATTTCAAATTCTAGCAATCAGTCTTCAAGCTACAAATCATCAGGCTGAGCTCCTGATTCCAATGCTGGATTAATGCTACAGGATCAGGGACTACAACCCCTGCAGATTAATGAATGCTGCAAAAGTAACTTGGGTGGGGGAAGGAGATGATGGAAAGAATATATAAGGTTCAAGAAAATTTCAGTATCAGTGTAACGGTGATTCCAGAACAGCAATGGAAAGAATATATAAGGTTCAAGAAAATCTCAGTATCAGTGTAAAGGTGATTCCAGAACAGCGGATGCAGCTTTAAATGCAAACAAGTACTGGAGATTGATATGCAGGTATACCTGCATGCAAGACTGAAACAAAGGGTCACTCTGGCACACTGAAAATGATGTGAATTATAAAGTGACACTCATCATGGAAATATTAAAGATACTGAAAGACTGAAAGTTTCTGAATTGCACAGTAGATACATTTTAGAATTCTGTTTGAAGAATACTTTCTAACTATAGTAGCTAGACAGGAAAAAAAGCTAAAAACCTCTTAAGCCACTGATGTCAGAGCAGAAAACCTTGAGCTGAAGTCTTGCCATGATTTATACGCAACCACAAAGCACAGTTCTACATTTACTGTTTTAGTGAAAGTCACTCTGAAAGACCAGAATGCTTTGAGCAAGAGGAGATAAACTGAAGTTTTCACATCAACTCCACTGGTCAGACAGTTCAGGAAAGCTGGGGGTCTTGTCTTTGTTGCACCCACCACAGCTACCACTAGAGGTAGTTATTCACTTAGCAAGCATGGACATGTTCTCCAGCTACCAGGAAATGAGCAATTTTGATCCTGAACTCCTAAAGTAGATAGTACAAAGCTTCTATGTGACTACTATAAAGCAAGTTCAGCTTTCCTAGAAGTAATTCCTTAGCTCAAATGCAATTCCTTATTTTCTGATTAAAGCTTTCTAACCTGAAGACAGCCTATAATGTAGTGTGCAATAGCTACTTTTGCAGGGCCTTTGCAAAATACTATGCCTTGAGGAGGAGGGAAAACCAAACACTATACAAATCAGTTGGAATATCTTCAGAGCACATTTAGTTACAAACACTTTAAACAATTCAAAGTCTTCAAGTCCTTTCTGTAATCCTAGGGATCTTGCTATTAGTAGTATTAAGGGACAAAGTCATAGTTCATGAATCAAAGTAGTTAACACTGGAAGTGTGCCTCTACTACACAAATAGCTGGTGTCTAGCCCTGTTTAGTCTTACCAAGTTGGTAAGACTACTTTCTTCGAAAGAGTTATAAAATAAATTATGTTCTGCCTCTTCCACAGCTGCTACAAGCTCTCTAGATTAGACCTGAACAAGGTAATTCTGCATTCACTCAAGAGGTATGGATAGAACTGCTTACAAAAAAACCCCCAACAAACCAACCAACCACCAGGAATCAATTCAGCAACACAGACCTGTTTTATGCTAGTCAAATAATTAGGTTATTTTCTGGCACTGATTTCTCCAGTGACGTTTACTCTGTTCCCTAGCTTAGGCACATTCTGTATTTCCCATTCTAGTGGGTGGAAGGCAAAGCAGTAAGACCATCTTGCAAAGAATGAAGCTGGGAGAACCAGCCTGATTTGGATGAGCGCATAACCTGCTGATGCCAGCCAGCAGGAACACAGGCATATTCCCACAGATAACCTCATACCACCTTCATTCTGTTTGTTGCATGATCAGCAGAAAACTGGAGAAGTAGGGCAAGATTTTTGCCAAGAGCAACTAGAGAAGTAGATCAAAGTCTGCCTCAACTGATAGGAAAGTTTTAGAAGCAGACAACAGAAGCCTGTCAGGCTGGATACAGCAGCTATCTTCCCAGGAGTTAATACGTGAAGAATATCATTGTGGAAAGCTATGGACTGATTCTATGGCCAAACTCCTCAGCTATGATTCATATTCAGCAATTTCCAGCTGTCGTGCTACAAACTGGTGCATGTGTCTTCATTTCTCTCAAATTCATCTTCTCAGGAGTACTACATTTGACACTACAAGATAAGCTCATGCTTCTCCAAGACACAGCTTGTTAAGAGTAATTCCAGGTTATAATGGATGAAAATATGAGTGCCCTCATTACACATTTGGAAAGATTTTGAACAAAAATTGCAAGGGGAAGAGGCTGGCTGAAGTGATAACAGAACTTCTCTGTGTGCATTCAAAGATACTGCAGGAGCCCTACAGGGAGGCAAGCAGACAGACCCACGCAGAAGCCCTGCTACTTCACTAGGGTGGCATGTCTATCCTTCAACACATTGGACAGATTGCCTCGGAGTTTTAAAGGACAAAAGTAAAACCTGCTCTGCATCTGAAATCAAGCACGTACATTTAGCCCTTCTAATATCAAGTTTAGAAGAAATTCCACAATTTAAACAAGCGCCACAGGGAAACATCTTAGTAATGTTACATGTTTGCCAAGTATGTCTGAATAATGCCAACATGAGAGGTGCTTTTGCAAGGTCTACATTCTCCAGAAAAAAAAAACAAAAACAAAACCAAAAAAAAACCAAACCAAAACAAAAATAAAGCACATGAATTTGGGGTTGAGGTTGGAATAGGAGACAGTTCAGACCTGGTTTAATCCTGAGAAAGATGGGTCCTGAGAAGTACTAACAGTCATGCTTCTTTTCCTCTTCCCCACTGGAGATTCTAAACACTGAACAAACAATAGAGGGTGGCAGTGCATCAAACAGTATTGCTTACATTGCAACAATGGCCGGCGCAGACAGGCAACACCGAGGCGTTCGAGAAAGAACAGGGTAGCCAAATGCCATCCTTCTTCCAACAAGCACTGTAGTTTTCAAAAAACTATGGTTTTTTTTTTTTTTTGAAAGGAGAAAATTTGAAAGATGTAAAGGTAAATTTCAACTGCGAGCCGCTCCAAAATGGCACTGCCTTGACCAGGGATAGCAATGGTGACATTTGGCTCTATTAAAAAAGGAAATTGAAGTTTTGCTTACAAAAGCATCCTTTGGTTCCACAAGACTGCCCTTCCCCCAAAAGACATTTAGAAAAAGTAAATCTTCAGTAAGGAAGAGGTAGAAGGCATTTAGTCACCTTAAAGTTTACTTTCATAAGCATGCAGGGCTTATTTCTAGCAGAGCTGAAAATTCATCTTTTGAGGCGGGAGTAAAATTTCTCCCAATCACCAAATTAAAATTTGAAAAAAAGTTTTTTTCTTTTAAAATATAACTGCCAGGAAGCTACTGGAACAAGATTACCATCCTATTCTAGTCTTTGTGTCTGATTGTCTTTAAACTCTGTATAGGCATCTCTAAAAATCCCAAAGCTACACTTAGTTAAAAAAGAAAAAAGTAAGTACTGTATGGTGGCCAAGTGTTCCCTAGATAAAGTACTTTGTTCCGAACTAAAGCAACCCATTCCTCATTTTGCTCATGTAAAACTACTGATTTGTATTTCCCTCAAGAACTACCTTCCTAATCTTTAAAACCCTGCAACAGTAACAAAGCCCATGCCCACAGTGTTTACCACCGTATCATTGCGTGGCTCCCTAACTAGTCTACTAATGGGAAAAAAATATAATGGTTTACGGGCAATTTTGCTTTTCATTTCAGCTGATGCAAATCTAATGTGTTCCTCCACTAAAGTAATCACAGCAGCATTTTCTAGGCCATTAATCCACATCAAGATGAAACAGAGTGCAGCAATGCCAGCCTAGCATGACTGTGCAAAAGTATAGAAAAATGGCCCAAAAAGAACAATTGGAAACCAGAAACTAAATTTTTTTTTCCTAGTTTTAAAGTTTTGAAGTTATATTCTAAGTCATGCCAGAAAATTAAGGGGTCTAACTGCTCAACACAGCAGAGAAAATTAGAGCTCTACAGAGTGAAAGTATGAAACCAGGGAACAAGCGAAGTTTAACGGCAACAGGATTACATAAATACTGCCTTTCAGCTGGACTTACAAGTTTTTCAAACAATGGTCGTATCTAAACATTCAGTGCACTGCACCTCTTCAGACAAGAACTGTTATCTCATGGTAATCAAGCTTTCCCCTTCTAATGTTCATGGCCCTGAAGTTGGCATTCATACAGGCAAACAAAGGTAAACATTTTAAACACTAGTAGTGCCTAAAGAGATGAGACATTATCTGATGGCATATCCAGAAGATAAGTGGGAATCTTGCTTCCAATAAACAGCTTGATCACATACATTTGTCCTGAAGTTAATTTCTATTAAGTAGCATGCTTAATGCATTGCCAATGCTGCCTGTCTGCCCGAGCTTGACATACAAATTGCAGGATTAAGCGTATTTCACTCAAGAGAACTAAAAATAAAATAAAAAACAGTTTTCTTCTATATAAGGTTTTCAACGGGAAACATGCACTCCTGACTACATTTATCCATCCAAACAAGTGCAACAACCTCAGCCCACCCCCCACCCTGCTTTTTTTCCCACAAAGTAAATTGAGAGCAGTTTTTTGTTGTACAACATATTTACATACTCTACAGTTTAACAGTTTTCTATCAACACATTTGCATAAATTCCTTTATTTATAATGGCAATTGATCTACATGTTGGCTGTTAGTTGTATCCACAGTTCTGATGGCTGAAGAGTTCTCTTTACCAGTCTGTCACCACAAGATTTAATGCCCTGATGACTAGTAGGTCAGGAGCTCCCATGTTGGTACAAATTCTTTTCATTCCAGGAAGTCAGCCCCAAAGCCAAAAATAAGATTTGACTTTACCATTGAGGAAAAAAATGCTATTACAAGTTATCTCAATAATGAAACTCCATCACTGATATAAGTAGCTAAGTATTCTCTAGGGTTAGTTAACAATCTTGTTGCAAGATGATTTCTAGGCTTGCAATCAAATGCATCCCACAGGGTGGGCCAGAGACCCCCATGTGTATGCCACTGCATTTAGAAGTGGACATTGAGAAATCCAAGTTCTCATACCAAAAAAATTATAGTTTATCATCCAAAACATCAGTTTTAGCAATGAGTTTTAAAAAGGTTGAATCAAGTAACAGAGCCATTCCCTTTGGATCTTTAAACAAAGAGCATTAGACTAACCTTATTACAGTGACGCCCAATACCCATTAGGAAGTTATCTGGTTTAATGTCTCTGTGTATAAAATTCTTTGTGTGCACATATTCAATTCTACTGATCATCTGTAAAAAAAAACCAGCAACAACAAAACACGTAAGATTTCAATGAGAGCCAATACAATTCACTTAAACCTTTAATGAAAGCATGAAATTAGTGTTACCTTCCTCTGCAACAAAAGTTCCTGTATTTGCTTAATGCAAACCAAGGGGTTTTTTTAATGCTGTTTAAATAAGTTTATATTTCCTATATGTTAAAATTCCATAACCTTGGTCAGGAAATGGCAGATTAAATACCTGAAACTATGTCCCAGACATTCAAGTTCATGTTCTAACAGATAGCACCCTATTAAAGAGTAATTTCTTTTTCTTACTTCAAACAAAGGTTTTCTATACCTACCACACAACAATTTTAAAGCTCATTCCCTCCCCCTGTCCCAGTTATTCATTCATCTGGTTATTCATCATCAAGCGTCACTTTTCCAGGTAACAGTTTTCACAGAGCAAGTAACAACTTGATTGTGTCCTATACTGTCATATCTAGGCTACCGTGACCCAGGAACAACAGTCAGCAATGAAGATGCAGAGAAACTCTAGCATATATGTATCATCATACACAGTCATGCGACTTCCTGTGTGTGAGATCACAGTACCTGCATTTATATGGTACAGCTTTCCAGCTGCTAATGCTCTTCATGCAGTCTTTGGCAGGTTGAATTGTTACATCATACCCTTCACAGCTGTTCTACTGGACTATAACCTAAAAGCCAATTCTGTACACTGATATCATATGTCCAGTCTATTTTTCCCATAAGAGAACTAATTAGCGTTTATCATCCAAAGGAATACTGTATGGAAACGATACAGATTCCCTGGAGATGCTGTAACACCCAGACTCAAGCTAACTAAGCAGGCAAATGGCTCTCTAAAGCAAGTGTACCATTCTCTTAAGGCAGCTGAGAACAGGGACAGCTGACCTTGTCTCCATACAAATGCCGTGAGCTTCCTTGGCCATGAGCCTGGGATTCTACATTCATCTGGCTGACACCTTGGTACTAACATCAATTATGTAATATTAGATGAAATTTGAACTACGATTGAAAATTCAACTCAAGAAACTTACTGCCTTTCAAGTAGCCGAAGACAGCACAATCAAGCTATTTATTAAATAGCAAAGAATAAATATGGCTGGCCATTTCAAATACTGAACTCTCATGACCAAGCTGAAAAAATACCAGTTGCTAGAAAAAGACTTAATAGACCTCAGTTTTACAGGCCTTGATTAAGTTTGAAGTACAGTGGTTTCTCCACTAACAGCTTTAAGAAATGTCTTTAAGCACCACAACAACCAAAATAGTATTTATTAGCTCATGGTCTGGTACTAGAAATTACAGGAGGTTGTGAGTACATAGTGACATTCACCAAGAACAGACCTATAGACTTGCATGTCACCCACCTGTCACTGCAGCTGGCCAACATGCAACAGCTTTCCATTGAATCAGATCAACCATAACTGAGCCTGCTTCAGACCTAACACCACCCCCACAGTGATATTGGGAGTTAATCCACCCATATCAATCTTGATTCTTTATTAAAGTTGCACTTGTTAGATCTGCAGCATCAAGGAGTTGATATCTGCGCTGCCCTCCCACTACAGGCCTACATTCGTTCTGTAGGCTACAGCACACAGAATCACCATTACTTCTTTCCTATATAGGTCAAGTGTTAGCTATATACAACACTCCATAACACAATTCAACCCACTTAAGAACCACATTGCATAAAATACTTAAGGGTTTTTAACTTCCTCACAGTAAGATTTGTACGTACCTGGTCTGCTAACATAAGTACTGTTTTCATCGTAAACCTGCGAGAACAGAAGTTGAATAGGTCTTCGAGGCTGGGACCAAGAAGATCCATAACTAGAACGTTGTAGTCCTTTTCTTGACCATACCACCTGCAACAAAGAAAATTATTCAGCATTAGCAGGAATCCTACTGCAGCCCAGGATACCATTAGCCCTCTTGGCTGCAAGGGCACATTGCTGGCTAATGTTCAATCTTAAAAACTAACAGAAAACTAGGGCTAGCAGTGCCTTATTTTTCCTGGAAACAAAGTCCGAGGACAAAACAGAAACAAGCTGGCAAGTGCATGTGCACACATTCGACTTTCCCTTAAGAGGAAACACCACTACACTTCAGCAGCAACTGAAATACCAAACACAAAAATCAAAACACAGTCAAAGCAGAAGCCATTACATGTCAATACACTGAGGCGTGTGCACAAAGTCTGAACTGACAGCCATCTGCGGGACACCTTACACTTCTATCATTGCTTCCTGTGTTATTTGACTTCACAGAAACATGCTTTAGGCTTTGTCTTCAGCTATGACTCCTCTGCAATAGACCAAAGCATCCAATGCAGTTAACTCATACCTCTCGATTCATTCATCCAAATTTAACAAATAACAATCAAGTTCTACTGTCCTATTACGTAGAAGATAAAGGCTCTTTACCAGGTACCATCATGAAGGGAAAAACAATTAAGTATCATAAAAACAAAATCACAGCTGTAGCAACGTATTAACTGCAGCCAAACAGACTGCGATATACACCCTTAAGCATCTGATATGTCAATTCAGGGTGAAAAATTAAATGTTATCAGTGCTGTGAGGACAAGCACAAGGCCTCTCAAATATTTTTTCCTTCCAATCCACGTTTAGCATTTCCATCATAGTACTGCTTTATGTTATCTGCAACTGGGGGAGAGTATTTCACCACTTAAGCTGTCTGAGAAGACCTGGAGTCACACCCTTCACTTCCACCAACCTCAGTTGTGAATTTCTGTACTTTAAATGAGCACTGAAAGACAGAACACATATTCTTTACTGCAGTCCTTCCGCACATTCCACACACCTAAGTGGCAGGTGTGTGAAAAAACATTTATGAAGCTGTGCTGAGTACATCACTGTAAAGATTCAACACCTTATTGATCACAAGGCTGCACTTTGCCTTTGCTAGGCACCTAAGTCCTCCTGACAAGGACCTAGTACCAGCAGTCAACGGATAAGACACTTCACCAGCTCTCTTCTGGAGACGCCCCGAAGTTTCCAACAGTGGTACAGACAAGATACACAAAGAATATACCCCATAAGAGGATGCAGATAAAAAAATAATCAAGATGCAGCTCAAACACAGTAGTAGCTGGGGCTTAAAGACTTGTATAGACATTTTATTTCCACTTTAGGTAATGGCTCCAGGAGACTAATGCATAGTTGTCTGGAAAATAGTTACCGCTGCTAATGCCGACAAATTCCTCGGTACTCACAGGATTCCAAGCTTAGCCAGGGTAGTAAAGTAAAATGTTTACAAAACTGCAGAGAAAAGATTCTGCATTTGGATTTGTTTCAGGAACTACTGGCCTGTACCTTCGCACTGTAGAGATTTTAGTAGAAACCATGCACTTTTATCGAATTTATAACAATGCATTACAAAGTTATATGTGGACTATGGATCACACTAATTTTACAGGTCAGTCTAGGACCTTTCTTCATTCCCTACATCATGAGGGGATGCAGAAAACAGGTATTTTGAAAGCAGTCATTCAAATGAAATTTCAACAAAAAAGTTGTCCACCAACATGTTAATGATCATACCATCAGGTAAGTACTATTTAGTAGTTTTTGCTTTCTAAAAACTCATTGAACATACTATGATGTACAAAAAAACCCCAAGTGACTCAACTGGGAAAGCATGTTGATGGTATTATTTAACAAAGTCTGCAATTAATGAAAATATTAATATTCACACTGCAACCTGACACCAAGCCATGAAATGTGTTTTGGAAAGACCTACCTCCCTTTTAAGGAGTGGTCAGAAGTTAGATTCAACTGCAAGAGCAACCAAGAAGAGTATTTAAAAAATGCAATGCAAAGATGGAGAAGAGTCAAAAGGCGATGCTGTTGAGAAAAGTTCTGATTCAACTACAAACCAGTTTCAGTTCAAGAATTATTGACTATGCCTGTAAATCTTGGTTTCTACCAAAGTCACTTATGCAAACAGTTGAGTAGTTTTGACAAGGCTCTATAAACAACTCCACAGGTCACAGTTGAGAATTAAACATTATGATCACCTAGAGTAATGAAAACTGGACCAAATGACCTGTCTAGTTATTCTGTCATATGAAATTTAGGTTTGTTGTGAAAAAGTCTAAAGAATAATAAGCTGAACTGAAGTACTCTAAGGAGTAAACCAAGACTTAGATAAAATATGATTTTCTTCAAGAAACAGAAGTCCAATTCAGACACTGAGTGTGTTCAGTACTGTAATGCTTCAGTGCCCAAGAGAATGCAGTATAAGGGAAAAGGATCAAAGATCAGTCTTCAACTGAGCTAAGAAAATTTAGTTACAGCATCACAGAAAGAGCAAAGCTGATGAAAAGGAAGCCTACCCTGGGAGCTACATTTTAAAAAGCATTTGGTTCCTCTATAGGGATCTCTCTGCTTATAAGTGAAGTAATTCAGGTTGATTGCACAACCTCCATTTGGCCTACTTCTACATATGCACAAGAAGATCTTAATCTCCTGACTATTTTGCACTGGTGGAAAGCAGAATCAACTCTGCAAGACAGAGAAATAAGACAGGACCTCTTAACATTTCATTTTCATGTTTACCTGCTTGTAATTCCTCACAGAAGACTGGCCCATCTATTAATTTCACTACTGGCAACTGAAACTTCTGCTAGGATATTGGAGTAATTTGTGTTTTATTTACTTTGCTGACACTGCAAGTAAGTTTTCGTTTCCCTTGGAACATTTCCAGGGAAAATGGGATTAAGAAGGCTACATCATGCCCATTCAAAGTCTAGTAGCTGCTACTACTGGCAGCTCTGAGTAAAAATGTTAGAAGTCTTGGCTCTTCTTAGGAAACCTTGGATATTATGATAAATAAGAGCTTGGCAAGTACTCCTTACTCCCATATTTGCATAATCAATGTAAGACAGTACATAAGCACACATTTTGGATGAGCACAAATTCAGAGTGCTTTAGCATACAAGTTTTAACACTACTGTGTTAAAAAGTGCAGAACAGTATGGCAACAAACTGAGCACAATTCTCAAAAAAGGGCTTGTATCTCAATGAAAAAAATCTTTAGAAGTTCTAACATTGCATCAGCAATGAAACTTGGAGGGTACTAATATGAAGCAATGACCCACACAAAGCCCTGGGTAACTATTAGATGACACTAGCATCTCAGAACACAAGTGCCCCACATGGCTCTTAGAGCTCCATGGACTTTTTTTTTTTTTTCTTTTCCAGCCCACTTGGAAGTACCCTCTCTCATACTAAAGTTAAAGAAGCAAGAGCACCAATACATTTTAAGCAGGGAGAGCTTTGGAGAGGAGTGCAAAGTGGGACAGTTCACTTTGGGTGGGTAATGACTCTGCATATCGTTACACACAATATTATTATTTCAAAAAGAAAAACTAAATTCCTAGGCTAGGAAAACTAATTTCTCTAATTCATTCCCACAGTGCTGTATGTCCCATTAGGACATACTTCCTAAATAGAGAATTTTGATTCTGTAGCACAGGTTCATTTATACCTTCTAATGCTGAAAAACTACACAAAGTACTGATTATGACCAGCTTTCCTGAAGAACAGCAGCAGATGACCTTTGTTACGACTACACAAAACCATTAGCCAGACAATATTCTCATAAAGAGCTACCAGTTACCCTTGAACAGGCAGTGTAACACTGTAACATCTGATACAGCTGTTAAAAACTTTAGTCCATACTCAAGCTGTAAGGTGTGCCCAAGCTCACACATGCATGATAACACTTCACCATTCTCCCTTGCCTCATCTGTTCAAAGCTACAGCTCAAATTACCACAGATTAGTTAGAATACGGTAAATATCCTTTATGAAGCTTTGCGTCAAAGCATGGTTAAAGATTGAACACAGTGACCTTAATTTGACTCCAGTGACTTGTCTAATTTCAAAGACCAAGACTCACCACGTCAACAAGTTTCTTAGCAGCCTGATATATTGCCCCAGCACACGCACACAGCCGAAACTTTCGGTAACATCTTGAATTTCAGTATTTGTAGCTCTGCGCTGAACAACTAAGTCACAGGACACAGTGGTCTGAAAGCAGTCCGTTTCCAAACCCCATACAGTACAGCAGGTATGATGCCAGATCACACGACAACTGAAAGTTTACTTGAACTCATGTGGGGTGCTTTTTTAAATTCCCTTGACTAACCTTGAGACAAGCAAATGAAGTACTCGTGCACATCTAGCACTTAGTAGCAAATACCACAGTCATGCCTACCCAAACTTGAAATCTTTTTCTGTTTGCAGAGCTGCATCTTTCAAAAATTGTATGATGTCTATTTCAGCAACTATTTTGTAAATAATGTCAATGACAAAACAAATGCTTGAGAAAATGCTTAGTAATAGCTTGTTGGTATTTTTTAAACCAAATAAAATGTTTTATTGGTTATTATAATATCCTCTTCACAGCTAGTGTATCTTCCTTTGAAAAGGTCAGACTGACATATACCAGTTAGCAAAGAGAGGTGAGTGAAGGGCTAACAGAATTCAGACACAGGCTATGAAATTATAGTTTCAGACTACTGTACCGCTTACACAATTTCCGTAGATAACCAGCAGTTTCATCCATTACACTGGCATTTGTAATTACAACAACGAGGTAACAAAACCAGCACAATTATCAAAGCTGTGTGAGCTCGTCACATGCTGAATAAAATAAAAGGATTCAGCAAATTCACATGAAAGAAATGTCAAATTGAGATCAAAATGAACTAAATTACTGAATCACTGGACAGCTGTTAATCACTGGTAAAGAAACCCAAATCCCACGCATTCCGAAACCATGAAGGCAGTCAAGGCATTGTCACCATTGGCATAACGGGACATCACTTTGTCTACAGC